TGAGCAGGTTTTCATGCTGATGGTTTCCAAGGTCAGTTAAGTAGCATCCATACGAATTGCTGCATTGACTTCAGGAGGATAAAGGTAAGCAAAACTATAGCTGCATACCAAAGGCCTTTCATGAGCACCAGTTGAAAATAGTCCCAAACGACTTGTGTAAGTAGCTAGCTAGAAGTTTATCTTTCAGAATGAATTAATGGCATATAGAATGGCTTAGGTCTTTTTCCCTCCTATATTTACTCCATAAAAATAAGAACTCAGATTCCCAATTTCAATTTTTAAAAGGTACTCATTTTCAGAGAGCAGAGTCCTGGCAGCCCTGGTTTTCCTCTTTGAATAGAGGTATTGCCACACTGGTGAATATCTCAAGCATCATCTATGCCTGCAGCTTCTGAGGAAGTTCCAAAATGTCTCTAATGAGCAAGTGGCTAATTATTTGACCCAGTGGAAGAGTTTGTTCCTCCTCATTACTAGGAATAGCAGATCCTTTTCAGAATAAACCTAGTATCCAGGTTTCAATAATACTACATGTCAGAGGGCACCAGTGGTTAATGAGACAAGATTTTGAAATGTTCTTTATTTTGCCTTCTTATCTTTATTATAAACATATTTCTTACCTTCCAGTGACACTGTGCTTCCTAGTGAAACAGAAAATGGTATCATTATCTGTATCACTTTTACCAATTTACAAAACCTTAGTATTTCCTCTATTCATCTTTTTTCCTGTATGTGCAGTGCAGCTCACTGAAATCTCTCTTGTTTCTGCCCCCATTAGTGTATTGATTTGTCATTGTGCTTCCTCTGTTTCCACTAGATAGCTTGAGGGATGGGTGACTAAAACTAAGCAATGTCCCAAAAGGATAATATGGGATATTTTCAGAAATCATTTTCTGCTATGTGCTATGTTATAGTTGAGGTTACTGAGGGACTTTTTTCTAACTGGTCATATTTCTGTTCAGAAGACTGCAGTCTTGGAGTCCTGACAATTCATTTCTGTGTGCATTAATTCACATTTACCAATACCAACACTGAACCTGAACTCTCTCCCTGATTTTTCCTTTAGGGTATAACATAGATCTGCTCACTCTTAGGTATCTTTCAGGAATATATGCCTGTCTGACTGGAAGAAGTACCAGAAGCCATATACATCTGTGCTTGCATGACTACTCATGGCTCTTATATAACCAGGTATAAAAGTCAGAGTTGGATGCTTTTTCTTTTTTGGTGTTCATGTCAAGCACTTCATCTTTTTGAAAATTATGCCAGGTTTAAATTTTCAAGGGAACTTATGTAAAACAAAGAACAATATAAAATGTGAAGTAGATGTAACAGAATATTTTTGTAAAGATTCTGCCAAGTCACAATCCTCTTTTTCTTTCTTGAATTTGTGACTTTCAGCTTCTATAGAACCAGCTTGTTTTTCCACTTCTGTTTCACTCCTGTTCTGTCTCTTTAGCAATCTGCCTCCAGCAGGACAGTGCAGACAGTTTCCTTGCATGGGCCAAGGACTCTCTGACTAGCTTTAAACAAAACAAGTCAAAGATCCTGAGGTGGCCTAAGGCTGAGGACATGACACTGCCCATGTCCTTGTATCTCATCTTTCGTCCCTCAGCACAAACTGGTGATGCCCAAACTGCATTTGAGAGCAGTCTCAAGCACAGCTGGACCCAACGCTGTCCCTGGGAAGTCTCTGGGGCTGCTGGTTGGCAGAAGCCAGCACTGCACGAGGGAGAGTGCTAGCAGACCATGTCTATGGCCCTCACAGTACTTCAGCCAGGGTCCCAGGCCTATTTCCTACTATAAATGAAGCCCAAATGCCTGAGCAAGCAATACAAAGGAAAAATAAAACTGGTTCTCACTTTTCTTTTGGATGAGTTTAAATTACAAAGGAAGAAAAGTCATTAGAGCAGATCCCTTTCCTACTGAAATACCAGGCTAGGAGTCTCTGATGCATGCAATTCACCCTTGAGACAGGAGGAAAACTTCTCTTCATTTTCTGACTGTAGTTTCAGTCCTTGGATGGCCTAACCCTTGACATAGCTTCCAGAAGCTGGGCAACTACTTTGCTTTCTGCTGCACACTGCCATGATAGCCTCAGGTCTGTTAGAGCAGCTCTGTCACACTTCTAGAATAAAAGACTATTCTAGAAGTGAAAGAGCCCTTGTCTGCCCTTCTGGGTCACTTTTTCCCTGCTGTGTCTCAGTAGTGCAGGACAAGCAGGATGAGGGCAGCATGCTCAGCTGCTGGGTTATTTCTCATATGATAAGGTTAGATTGGGAAGATTAAGAGGGATGGGAAGATTAAGAGGGGGTTATTTTGTAAAATACCACTAAGCCTTAAACTGTTAAATTGCTAAAGAGTGAGACCTTTGTATTAGCTAAACACTTTGTTTTGGGTGATAGAAGGAAAAGTTTTGCATACTCTAAAATTTTATTCTTACTCTGAAAGCTGCAAATTTTGAGGTGTGGTCCAGGAATAACATTATGATCTTTTTTATGCAAGGGGTGTCATGGGTGTCAAAAGGTCCCCTTCTTACCTTAAAGATCAAGCTCTGGGAGCACATGAAAGTTAATTCCTTGGTCCCAGCAGCTTGAATCAGATTACCAGAGGTATGTACCTAAATTCAGGAAATTTAGGAGCTTTCTAAGAAAGCTATTCTAAGTGAGCTATTCTGAGTGAGGCAACAGAAAGTACTAAGCACAGGAGTAACCCAAGGATACCCCTCCTCTCCAGAGTTCATGCACTTCTGAAAAACAGCTATGTGGAACCCAGTTTTGGTGGTGTGCAGGATCAAGCTTTACTGTTTCACAAGGCAGTGGTTGCGATAACTAGCACTTGTTCAAAAAGGAGATAGGGGAGTTTCAAACATAAAGTGTCCTGACTGTGGAGGTAAGGTATTCTGGCTGCAGAATAACAGTGGGGCTGTGACACCATGTCACTGGGAATGTGGGAGTCTCACCACCAGAAGGAGAATCCCAGCTGCTTGGAGATATTATTTATCACTGTCTCTGAATTGCTGCAGAGCAGTAGATGGAGCTGCAGATACAAGTGCCTATACGCGTTTACACTTGAGAAACATTGCAGTAGAAATGCAGGCACTGTATGGGTTTAGGCATCTCCCCAGTTGTGTAACTGCTGCCAACATTAGCTTTTTGGATTGCTTTATTGAATACCTAAGTGAAATTCCTTTTTAGTCTTTGTTTACTTTTGCCCCAAATCAATTAACTGCAGCTCCACAGGGTTTGATTTTCCAATCCAGCCATGCTCAATCACTGATGTAAACCAAGATTTTTTTCTCCCCTTAGATTCTTTTCTAATGGCTTCTTATTTCTTGCCCTCTAAGTGTGTGGCTGAATTCTCCGCATCTATTTATAAGGGCTTCCCCACTTCCAGGAGTATTTAATCAGAGAGAATGCTATCAGCAGGTGGTTAGCATCAAATGTCAGCAGCTACTTCTTTTCTGACATCTCTTGGGAAAAAAATGTTTCATTACCATGCAAATGATGTTAGTCTTCCTTTGCAAGATCCATTGTCACACAGTGTAACATATGGTACACAGAACTGTGCTCCCAAGATTTATGCAGCAACTACATTTTGTAACAAGAACAACAATTTTGAGAGCTAAACCATCAGATAACTGTCATCACTGTTTCCCAATGAGATGGTTAATATTTCTGTATCTCATGGTTACTCTAACTTCAGTGGGGAGACACACACAGTTCTGCTTTCTTTTGAACTTTTCCATTTTTCTTTAGCTTATATCAGAAATACCATGGTACCTTCAACAGCCTATGCCAGACAGAATAACCGAGCAAATTTAACACATTCTATTATCTTTTTTGAGTATGTCTGGGATGTGAATTGTTCAGTTGATAATTGGAGTGCCCTTGTCTTGAACTACACAAAGAAAAGGAAGCTGCTAGCCTGTCTTGAGAATTTTCAGAAGTGCCAATAATGGCAGTTCGAACCCAACTTTTCCAAGGGCCCTGAAACCCAGTAAGCAGACTGGGATAAACCTCTGAGGGGCTTGATTCATCAGAGCACTGGAGTACAGTTCGGTGACTTCAGTGGGACTTCAGGATGTGTCTGGATTTAAGCATATGTTTAGGTGAATTGTTAACCTCAAGTATGTGATCAAGTGTTTTGCTGACTCAGGGACCAGACATCCCTTGCAGCTTGTTGTTTTCCACTTTGCCATCTGGGAAGAGGCAGCACGTGGGCTGTGTGAGACATTGCATTGCTGAAAGGGTATTAACAACAGCCTTGAAGTTTCCAGGTTCTCTGAATAAGGTATTTTTGTCTCTGCAGATCTGACTGGGGTAGAATAACCTCACTGCACTGTCTGAAAGAAAACTGATCATGCCACAGCATTCTGCTAGGTTATCAGTCAATCTGTGCCTAAGTAACATAAGCTTATGTTTTAGTGGAACAGTAAGAGACAAGTGAAAGCCTGCAGTTTTGGGAGCATGAAATTGCCCCTTTCAGACATTTTAGGACGTCTCTTTTGTGAACTGGACAACTGTAAGAACCCAAATTTGCAAACACTTTTAATCAGAGTCATCTCTTCACTAGACCCATTTTCTGAGCTGAGGGAGCACGTCCATATTAATATGAAATAAATGTTTTTACAGGCTGTTCAGACAACAGACTCTCTTGCTCCAGTCAGGTAATGCAAAAGAGTGGGTTATAAAGACCTGTTACTGCATTTGTGGGAGAAGTGCAAAATATCCTGATGCCTTGGTATTCTTGAAATGATTTTAACTTCCCAAAAATATTAGGGGTTCACCTGAAATATCTCCCAAATAACTCCCCCATCTGTTTAGCGCGCAATCCTACTTCTCTAATCCATTATCCTTCCAGTCTGCCATCTCTTGACTTAAAAACTGTTTATGTACTGTTGTGCTACTTGCATTTCGGATGAATGCTTGCAGAGGAATAAATGTTTATTGTAACAATATGCATTTCTCTGTGGGTACCCTATTTTTTTTATTCTTTTCCAGTGACAAAATGTTCCCAGCCTTTGGATTTGGAGCAAGAATACCCCCAGAATACAAAGTAGGTGCAAAAATGTAATTTTCTAGTTTCCTTGGTTTATGAGGCACAAAATAAGGGAGAAATGGCTCAGTGCAAGGCAGGGACAAGGGGAAGCATCTCCTACCATTTTCTTTCATCTGGCTTTCTCACTCATTGATACCTCACTGAAACCAGAAATCAAGGCAAGGCTCAAAATAGTTGTTTAACACCCAAAATATTTCATGGTATTGGCAAAGCTTTGTTAGTGGATGCTAGTCTAGTAAGAGGAGAACTTCTTTTTTGAACAACCCTTGTCAAACATATTTTGAAGCTTTGTGGGCCCTGGTTTGACAGAACCCATTTTTGGAAGATGTGATTCAGTGAGCAACCTAGTGTTCATGCTTTGTAAGGAATAGATTTAACATCTTTCTGAAAATAAAGACTTTAGAAGAGTTTTGCTGTGTGGTAGATTTCTGTGTCATGGTGGACGTCATCAATGCCAGAAAGAGAAATACAAGAGCATGTATCCATGCTGGAGAGAAGTGGTATTTGTAAACAAAACAAAATGAGAGTTATCCACAGTGATGGTGCAATTGTGAGCATAAATATACAGTCTGGTAGGGCTGGAGTGAAGACAGTGAAGTAAAAGAAGGAGCATCCAAAAGAGAAAGCCCTAAGAAGAAACAGATAGAAGTTCAAATCCTGTGTTGCACACACAGTAGTTGGGCAGAAGAGTAGCTCTCCATAGATAAGTAAGCAAAAACTAGGTGGGGGTTCTGTAACTCATACTCTCTCTAGAAAAGAAAAGCATTAGACTTCTGATCATGCAGACTTCATCCAGTATCCCCATGTGCCCTGCTCTAAGTTGTGTCTCAGCTGTGGCTGGAGCAGGCAGGTGAAACACTGGTCAGATGAGAATTTTTGTGCAGAGAGGGATCCTGTGTCATTCAGCATGAATCAGCAGATGAAAAAAAATGCACCAAAAAATACTCACAGCTTGTAGGTTTGATACCTGCAGAAGAATTACAGCAGTGATGTACAGCAAATCTGATATGTCTTGCAAACAGATGCCTAAGGTAAGTTAATGTATCTCTTTACAACATTGCTTTCTAAGCTTGTTTGTGCCTGACAAGGTTTTTTGCCTTGCTGTGTTCTTCAAAAGTAACACCAGGCAGAGACAGCTTCCAGAACCTTGACATAGATTTTAATGTGGTATAGGTGCACAGAACATCTGTGTCTGTCGTATGTCTGTTCCAACTGCAGCAGCTGACAACCATCTCTGCTATATAAGGGAGAATGTTTTGGAGAATACACTTGATCAGGCCACCAGACACATTAGTGAAACACGGTAGCTACTTCTCAAGCTGCCATCCCTTTGCCATGAATATGTGCAACCCTACTTGTGACTGAATAGCAGAGTTGACTGAGTTGGACCATGCGTCACAACATAACAGCCCTTTCAGCCCAGTACTGGCCTCCTCTGACAATGCCATATGTACTATTGTGTTTGTCCTAAACAAAGATATCAGCCTGGTGGTGTACCAGGGGCTGGTTTTTCTATCCTCTGCGATGTGATCATCATTGCATGGGGGAAAACTTGCAATTCTTTCATCTGTAGAGAGACGTCCTTATCTAAGGACTGCTCAGAGGAAGATGTTACTGTGCCAGCAGAAGTCTTTTCACTGGTTTGCTGGTGATGGAAGTATAGTAAAGTTCACAACACAAAATTGCCCTTCTCAGCCAAAATAATCAGCTGGTGGCATGGATGCCTCAGGTCACACAAGTATATTGGCAATATACCAGTTTTGTTAGACCCCAGCAACAGCTTCCTCACCTGACTGTGAGAGCATATCTCAGGTGTTAGCTGGAAAACAGATGTCTTGCCAGAAAGTAACTTCAGGAGTCTCTGTAACCAGATATTCATACAATCACCAACATCAAATGATTTTCTGCTTTGGCAGAATTGGTGCTTGCACAATTTCCTAACAAATACCCTTAAGAAAGTCAGAGACTTGCACTGAACTTAGTAGTCCACACCTGAATGAAGAGTCTTACCCTACAGCACAAGCTGTCCTAAAGAGTCTCTATGTTACTAACCTCTCAAAGCAAGAAAATGGATGACTCGGGCCCTTCAGATTTTGAGAAGTTCAGGAAAAGTAAGGGTAAACTTCAGAAGATGGGGCTACTTGCTTATGGATTACATATATGAATCCCACAGAAAATGGAGATGCAAATGAAGGCCAGAACATCTTTAATCTCTGCTATGGAAACTTGTGACAGAAAATGACAAACACAAAATGACATGACATCAGATTACCAACATAATAAAACTTTGAAGAAGATAAGAACCACATTGCAGGGGACTAGCCCTTCTGTGCAACAGATGGGGACAAATAATCAGCTTGGTGTCTATCATGGGCACATTCAACTGGAACTGGATGAGGAATTAACAGTCATCTGTGCTATTTTTCAGTCCCTCTCTGTGATACTCTACTCAGTTCATAGAAGTCTATAAAATTCTAGTTTCTTAAAATAAACTATATCAACACTTTTGAGTCCCTGCTTGTCTTTGACTGCACTTCTGAAATGAAAAATACATCCTCTTAAGAGTGAAGAATCAGCCTCATCATGATGCATTAATAAGTCAAGACCAATAAACCTGAAAATCCTTTAGTAATTTAGTCTACACTATTATAAAGTTAATTCAAAGTCACCAATGATTAGTGTTTGATGTGGAAGACAGCAAAGATGCATAGGAAACAGAGAAGAAACTGATATAATTAAGAGTAACAAAGACTGTAGAAAAAAGTGCTCACAAGTTTCTTCCTTAGCTTCTTCTGTTGCAAAAATATGATAACACTATAGACACCACAGCAACACTGCAGATCTCGTGCTTTTCAAATGTTCTTTTCCTGTTTTCAGTTACAGTTTTTATTTCATTAAAGGAGAGCAGTGTTATTGCTGTAATAATTTACATCTTCAAATTTAGATTGAATCATTATGTGAATTTCTAAGTTCTGACCCCACCATGTGGATAAATCAGCTTTTCATTAATTTAGTGTCTGCTTTTAAGCCTCCAGCCCTAGTGCTCATAGCACATTTATCTCTGCATTCCAGCATCTGGTCTTTTATTTCTTCCAGTAGACAACAAATTGCTAGGGCTGCAGAAGAACATATTTCCACTACCACGGGTTCCTAAGTAACCACGAGAGCCTCCATACAACCTAAACAACAAAGCTTCTTCATGAATAATGTCAATATTGACCTCTAGAGGCTATCCATAAATCTCCTGAGGTTGTACACCTTTATATATATTTTCTACAGAATTTTCCTTTCAAGAGCACACTGCTTTGTTATGTTGACTTCATTTTCCCTCATTTGAGCTCCAAATGACACATTTCAGCTGTTAGAAGAAAACCAGCAGTTTCTTAGTGGCATAAGGAATCTGTGGGAGTGAAGGAAGCCAGACATGCCATATATATCATTCCTCATCAGTCTAGAGATCTTTCGTCTAATATTCAGCAATATGATCTTTTTCCCCCAAGACCTGACAAACACATCACCCAGCTCCTTGATTTAAGTAAACCTGTGAGAGAAATATTCCCCTCTTAAGTTGCTATCATACAAAACTTGCAGAACATGGCAGTTATTCCACAGCAGTGCCTATAACCTATCCCATTTCTGGGTTTTTTTTTTTGCAATGAGAAGAAGCATCTGAGAAGTCTGATGTAAAGTGAAGAGGTGGTAGATAATATGGACTCAGACACTGCTGTGAAAGGTCACAGTGGAGAGGAGGAAAGAAAGCTAACCACACACACTACCTTCTTAGCAGGCAGAACTCAAAAGAGATGAAAAACCACTCGGCATCACAAAACTTATTGTTAAAATGAAAAGAAAGTTCCAATTGTGTCAGCCCTGTGATTGGCATATTGACAATGATGAAGGCCTCTTTCTTAAAGATGAATTGCAGACTGACACCTGAGTAAGTACTAAACAATTTGCAGTTTGTTTTAAGATAGTCCTCATTATTTCTGCATTTTTACTGAAAGCTTCATTCACTGCTTGTACTGTGAATGTGTGGTGGAGAGAAGCTCACTACAGTTACAGACACAGTACAGTATCTTCACAACCATAAACTGCACTGTCTGGTTTGCTGGACAGATAAGGGACTTGAAAAGTGGTGTGGCCTTTGTGATTCCTGAACTTTTCAGGAGCCTGAGGGCAAAAATGTATGCAAACCTGACAAAAAAAGAAACAATAGAAGGATGTGTAACAGACCAAGGGGAAAACCACAATTTGTCACCTTATCCACATAACTTGGATTTGGACATGGAAATTAGGCAGCATGCTCAAAAATCAATTACAAAGGAAAATAAATGGCCCAGCTTTGCCAAGCAGAAATTTCTACAATGTGATCCTAGCAAGAGACAGAAGCTGTCCAGTTCCCAAACTGTTTGATTAATGAGCATTCTGAAAATAATAGCTTTTGAGCAATAGTTCTTTAAATTTGTTAGTGTCTTAAGCTTTTGCAAAATATGCAGGCATTCCATATTTAATTTTCAGACTGGCAGTGTCCTAATAGTGTCCAGTTTATTCACAGAAAACTGTTCAACATTGTGCATCTTGCCATTTACGTTTGTGTGCATCTATTGTTCATGGATTTTTGACAATCTCTACTTAAATTATTAAGAAAGCATTCCTAAATGTGTCTGAATTTGTCAGATTGTTTGTCAAGTAGTTCTAGTACCAATCACCATAGAGGTTTCTGGAAAGCTGGAGATATTTGGGACAGAGAGATTAATTTAAATGAATTCAACAATCTAGAGAGGGAGAAAAAGGATTACTAATTTTCAGAATTCAGGCATCCATATTCAGCACTTGGAAAATAAATGAAAAATGCAGCTTTTTACTTAAAAAATGGAAATTCAGTTAGAGTAAAGGGGTTTATAAAAATGTGGAGGACAAAACAGAATAACAAGTTTCAAGAAAACTTAAATAAAATGATTTTGCGTAGTCCAAAAGCTTGACTGCAATTTGCATTATGAATTATTGGAGGTTTATTATTTGTCAGATTCCAAGGTAGGGTTTTTGTTTGAGTTTGAGGTTTCTACCTGAGTCCAGAAGACTTTTTTTTAAGAAATCTCAAAAATTCTTATTAATTAGGAAATCCTTCTTTCCTTTCAGCTTTGATTAGAAAGCTTTTTAGCAAGGGCCATGCTATGAGGATGAATTTCATTGCATCCCAATATGAGGGAAATGAATTACTTGGTACATTAAATCAAGGTGATTTTTTTATTAAAATGGTCATAAGCCTGCAGAACTATGGTTATGATTCTTCCAAGAGTCTCATGGGTGCCATCACATTGATGGAAAACTGCAGGTACTTGCCAGTACAGACAATGGAGGCATCATAAAGTGGCAAAAGAACAATGCTATAATCCGCCTTAGCAAAAATATTATTTCAGACTGTTTATTTAGTTGTCACATCCTCAGAAATGCTGTCACTGTAATCTCCATCTTGATGTATGGTAGAGCTACTTATTTTCCTTGTTTAAAACCTTGAAGAAATTATCTGAAAATTAATATGTTCTTGGTGCAGGAAGTTCCTGGACAGCTGTGGTTTAATAATCCCACATCCATGATGGTACCTGCTAAGTAATGTATCTGGAGCGCTGCAGAGGGAAAAGATTAATACATAGCAAAGTGCAAGTAAACGACTTTAGTTAGAGTTTTTAAGTGCTGTTTTGTGCAGCAGCTAAGGTAACACCAGGCTGATCACATGTAATCACCTCTGCACACCAGAATTTCTCTCTCCTTCCCTTTTGTGGATTGATTTTATGGATTGATGTTAAGGGAGGAGGGCTGAGCAGAGCATGAGCTACAGACTTGAAACTTAGTCCGGGATTTGTGACACACTCAGGGTTTTGTGAGGATATTCCTTATCGTGAGGCTGACTTCTACCACAGACCATGGTCTGCAGTTCTTTGCAAAGTTCTCTGTGCCAGGTACTAATATAAAACAGTCATTCTGTATCTGTGTGACTTGACATATTCCAGGATTTCCTGACTGTTAGATTGATCCATAACACAAACCGCCCTAGTAAATTATATAAACATGCCTGCTTCTAAACAACCAAGTGTCTTCTTGTTCCCCACAAGGATTTCCCAGTCTTCAGTGTCTTAAGTGTTCGCACTTTTGCCTCCTTTTTCTCATTAGTTTATCAGCTCTGGGAGTGCCTAAGGGCTGTGTAATTCAATATCAGAAAGATGCCATTTAGTATATACCAGCTTTTGGTCCTCTGTCATAAGCATGGTTTGCCTTTCAGTCACATAGCCCTTGCATGTTTAATTAAAAAAAAAAAAATAAATAAAAGAAACCACCTTCCTACATGGGTGAGCTTTACATAGAGTCCTATCAGGTAGCAGTCTGAGTTCAGTGAGGCCTTCAGTACATCACGTGCCTGAAGTCTGTGCTGGTTTAGACCCCTTTGAATTCTGGCCACGACAGGAGAGATAGCACGGGGGCAGGTTGAAGCGCAGTTGGTTTTACTTAACAAAGTTGGAATGAGTTCTAAGCATTTGGAGAAACTGTTTTAAAAATATCTGCTGTTGGCTTGCCTCCAGTGATCATTTCCTGTTTGTGAACCATCACTGAGCTGCTCAAAGACCTTCTATCCTTCCCATTATACTTAAATCTTGTTTAAATAGTGATATATTGCTCAGATAGCATAGGAAACAAGCTAATGCTTCTGCACATTTGTTGTGTTTTCTGTCCTGCCTTCAAGGTACCTTCTAACACTGTTCTTGGTGAATCCGAATGACAATGAATGAGGGCCACTTGCTTTAGGACAATAGCAGCCATTGCTCAGACAGTATTATTTTTTGGATCATTGCACACACTGACTAGACTTGGGCTTTCTTTGTGGGCCTGAACCATTGTCTACATTTTTCTTAAATAACAGCCTGGGTGCTATAGCTCTGAACCAGATAAATTGTTTGCATTATGTGATCCTGAAAGAGGTATGGCAACAAAAGCATACAAACCATCCAAACCATGCTTGCATGTGAGATTAAAATACTGTATTCATAGGTTTGGAAAAGAATTGTGATTCTCCTTTAGGTATAATTTCAAATGCATTTGGACTAAAAAAATAAAATCACTGAAGAGGCACAGTGTTGGAAGAATCAGCTTGCATACGTGCATTGCCATCTTTCTTGCTTTTGAGATGCAGTTAATACAAAGTACAGAAAGCCTAAAGGAAGAAGAAAGACTACTGGACAACAAAAAATATCAATGAGTGAAAACTCACATAACAATTCTTGACAGCTACAATTACCTTTGGCCTGCAGCTGGTCATGAGACTGGCAGATACCAGCTGGGCAAAGTGTACCAGGAGATATCCAGAGCAGCCAAACAGAAGGGTTCTGGAGCACCTCTGAAGCATATCTGGCAGCCCTGATCTTCTGTGCCTGCTCAGTGAGGAACACAAATAGTGACTTTCATCTTCCATGACCAAATAGGATAGCCTGAATGGCCCATGTAAAATCCTCTTCAAAGAGTGAACTGATGCTTGGTGTAGGCATACTGAATTCCTAGCTGGGCTGAGGTAGCTGCAGACTTAGTTTTTGCTTCAGTCCTTTCTCATCATGGTAGACTTATTGCCTTATTTAACCTCTCAATAAAGGTAGGCATCACTGTGGTGAGCAAGGCTGTGATGGGGAAACTCAGTTTCTCTGTGAGAAACTCTCTTAGGCAGTAATTAGCCAACTTATACCACTTCAGTTTCACAGAAGCTTCTCTGTAATTACATATTTGATCTTTAGGCCTCTTAGTCATAGATCAGTTTCCAAACTGTGTTGTCAAGTCATGTAAACTAGCAAATAAAATAGCAACATCCAAGAAATAAATCTCTTTCTTCCCATAATCCAGGTTCCATTGTACAGGGAGTAAAATTGCTTTCCGTATCACTAGGATTGTTGGCACTTTTGAAGGTCCTACAGAGATCTATAAAGCTTTAAATATGTGTAATTACAGTTACCTATATAAATGCCTTCTTTAAATCTGGGATGATATGCCTAACTTCAGTTTTAAATTATGCAAATTGTCTGCTAAACTCCTAGCCATATCCACTTTTTGGAAGCCAAATATATATATGTGTATATATATATATATATACACACACACATTCACACCTTGTGCATTGCAAGACAAAATTTGGGCTTCTTCATTCAAAAAAATTTCAGACAAACAGAAAAGAGACTGGGCTTCAGAGCCCAAGAGATTAAAAGGAATCAAACCTTCTCAGTGATCAAAGAAAGAAGCAAAAAGGAATCTGGAAAAAAATGCAGGCAAAAATAAACTTTAAAACCAGAAAAGAGCATCTGAAGAAAGTTTCAGCCTCAAAAGATTTGTGCTGTGGATGCAGATCTCTGATAGACAGAGGAGGTCTGTAACCTGAGACTTATAGGGCCTTGCATTATTGAGACATACAGAAGTCTTGTATTATTTTCCCAGAGCACTAAAGACACAAGACATTGCTTTATTAGAAAATAAGCAATTTTTTTATTCACAGTCATTTCTTTTAGAAAACAGCTCTGTAGTGTTTTATTATAGACATAGTGAGAGAGATTGGAATATTCAGAAAATATGAGGAAAAACAAGTCTTCAGGGTTTTTTCTTACTTATTTTCCCCCAAAATAATCTAATTTCTTAGCTGGCTTAGACTCCTTGCATTTCTTATGCTATTATTTCACAGTGGATCTAGGTGATTTCCTTGATATCTCTGGAGAATTACTTTCCCAGTACTCCTGTGGCCTTAAATGAGGAACTGTTTGCGCCTGTGAGGACAGAACGCAGAAGTGAGCTGGGTTTCTGCTGTCAGTGCTGTATCACAACCTGCTTTGTCTCTCCTACAGTTTGAGATGCTGAGCTAGGGAAAGCTGGCATTTAAATTGCCTCAGCAATAGATGCCTCTTCTGTGCCTGGCATTGATAATCTAATCCTGACACCATGTGATTTATCATGTACTTGGGCAGTTTTTCTTTGTGCTATTTTTTCTTGGAGTTTTTTTTTGTTGTTATTGACATGTTTGTTTCCAGTTTTGCTACTTTGTTTCTGCAGGGAGTTCCAGCTGGGACTGTATTTCAAACTTAATGGCTGAAAGCTTGAAAGATGTCAGGTTTAACACAGAAAAAATGTAAAGGGTGTTTAACCACAAGTCTTCACGCAATAATTTTTCTGAATACAGTCTCCTTCTCTTCTTTCCATATATCTGCAGGTCTCTCATGACTTTGCAATCAATTTCAATGAAGACAACCCAGAATGTGCAGGTAAAGCTCAAATTAGGACAGATTGCTATATTTTTGCTGTGTGCAAAATGTGACTGCTTTTTGTTGTATCAGCTGAGTATTATTCAAGGCGGTCTTTTAAAGAAAGTAGCTAGGATTTCAGACCTGACAGGCTCCAAGCCTTCGAGCTTAGCTTTAGGAACCTTAGAAAGTGCCATACGATAATTTCCTGAAAAGTAGGTCCCTTTGAAAGTACACCGTGGTGGACATTCAGCACTTGTACTTCGCAAAATCACTAGCATTTCTGAAAACTAAAGCTGTGCCTTCTGAATTCATTCAAAATCTTCAGCTACATCAACATCATAGGTTGTGCAGCTAAGAAGGGCAGGACATGAAAAAGCAGGCTGTGAACCTCTGTGATCAAAGATTCCCTTGTTTTAGAGCCAGTTCTTTGGCCAGACCATAGCAACAGTAGCCTGCTGCTTGTCAGCCCGGCAGTGTCCAACACTAGAGGGTCAGGGAAGTAGGTGAGGACTACTGTGGTAGAAGGAAAAATACTGCAAATGCAGCAGGAGGCTGTTTTAACACAGTGTAAGATATTTGTGCATTTTAGCAACAATTGCTAATCCTCAGTAGTCAGAGGCCAGATTCATGGAGAAGATGCTGCTGTATGCCTTGTATTTGTGAGGTCTGCAGTGACTGATCCTGTTTTTGTAAAAGACAATAACAGGAAAATAATCTCCAAACAGAATAACAGTTGAGAGTCTTAGTCGGATGATCATTGCTGTCTAAAATTCAGTTTGTTATTCTCCCTTATCCTTCTGCTTCCACCTGAATACTGAATGGGTCTTTCAAAATGCTCTTCCTTTTCAAATTCTCAGGCTTACTAGTGTCTTTCTTTCAGGCATGGTCAGCAGAACATGTTCAGGATCAGAATTAAGATGCAAAGAAATGAAGTGAGGAAGAGAGGACAAGCAATTCAAGGGAAAGATACATTAAAAGAATGCAGAGTTCATGCATCTTAAATGCAAGACCTCTGTTTTTGGTTCAGTGGGCATTCCTGCTTTATTGTTGCACTTGGATTGTTGGACTGCCCCAGCCTCTGCAGTTCATGTGCTTGAAATGTAATTGGGCATAAGTCCTACAGCTGCTTGATGTGTTCACACAGCTTCTTACATTGCTTTTAAGGAGTTCAAAGAAGCAGAAGTTACATATATGCATCTAGAAGTGCCTGTAAGCTTGTGAGCCAGCTTGACGTTGAGACTTTAGTCACACTGACGGTGTGGAGATGGGGTGGGGAAAGCAAAACAGACCTCAGAATTTTGTCTGGACCACCATATTTAATAATGTGTTATTAAAACAGTTAACAGTGGTCAGCATTAGATGATAACATATTTATGCAGGCAGTGTTCAAACACAGCTTTGTTTCCCAGTCTAAATGTGGGCTATTTGTGACCCTCTGCATACTTCAGATAAAAGCTCTAGCAGTCCATGCAGAGAAGACTTTTTTAATCCCTCCTTTGCTGCCTCTTTTGATTCCAAGGCTAATTCTTTTACCACACTGGCATTAATGATATCATATCATTAATGATATCAAAAATCATATAATGATTTTTATTGATTGAAAAGGCTGTCACATCTATGTAGTGCCAGCAGCAGATCAGTTTGGACAGACAAACCCTCTGCAAGTTAAGCATTTACTATCCAAACCACACTGTATGCAAAATAAAATGTAACAGTGGAAATTAAAGGGATTTAAAGAAAAGGGAGGAGCTGCTCTGTGAGGCTTGGCTCATGTCATTTAATATTTGTTATATGTTTAAACTTTATTTAGTTCTTTGCATAAGATTCTGTTATAAGTTAACCTATTGACTGAAAGGGGTTCTAGGCCTAAGAAAACATAAAAAGAGGGTTGCAGCACAACCAGAAGGCCAGGGAAGAAATTTTGCAGCATTTATTTGCAAGATATAAAAAGCACTTCTTTGTCATAAATGATACGTTTTAAAATAATATCCATCTGGGTGAAAGCAAGAAAAGGAGACAGACTAGAAAATATGTTGTTTAATCATCTGCTGCAGCTTGCTCATCTGCCTGTCGTGGATGCTTGATTAGTTCCTACCACCAATTGTTCTGTGATGCTTTCTAGATGCTCTCACCGTGTTAGGTGACACAGGGAGCAGTAACACCAGCATGTCGTGAAAAACGATGCAAGAGTGAGAGGGAGATAAAGTGCTTAGTGACTATCCTTCTGATATTTAGCATATTTGCCAGAAAACAAAGGAAAATTGCTGAAGAGTATCTTGTTTTACACCAAGAAAAGCAGTTGAATGCAATATAAAAAGTATGTGTCTATTTTGTCTTTGAGAAATGAAGTCCCTTTGTTTGTGTTAAGTAGAGCTTTTGCTGGCATAAGGTAGTGTGAAGCATCATTCTGCATACAAGGACTGTGTATTGATATGAAAATCACTGGAATTCATAAAACATGGATACCTTCACCTTTTCCTCCTCTGTTAACACTTCCATTCTTGAAAATTTTAGTATTTATAGCTTTATATTTAGTATATTTATAGCATATTATTTTTATAGTCTTATAATTAATATTTTCTTTATTGTCTGAGGAAGAAATTAGGTGACAACCTCTAATCTGAATGAATGCTTCTACACATCCATCTAAAACTGATCACTGTATGCATACACTGTATTACATTGGAGCTATTGAAAGTGGATTCCAAATAAAAATGTAAAGGGTTGAATTGTGAAAAAAAATGCATATTGTCTGTGTCTAAAATAAAGGAGTACAAGAGGAGTAAGCTACAAAGTAATCCACTCAAATAACCTGTTTGGTTGGAATTGGATGGACAGTAGATAGTTCTAAAATGTATTAATCGGAGATAGCAAATAAGAAATTATACTTCTAGAACATGTTTCTTTCTAAGATGAGAGCAACTTTCTGACATGAATGATGCTAAGTCTGTGTTGAATGCGGGGAGTAAGGCTTATCTTGTAGTATTTTAATGTGTTAGAAAAAAACTACAGTGTATCTTGTCATCAACTTAGGGAAGATTTATGAGGCCTTCATGCAAGGTCAGTAAGTATATGTAAAGAAATCCTTGGCAAGTTTAAAATTGAGAGTTAACAAAAGGTCAGTTTTGCAATATGTAATTTAGTCACTGGAATTGCCAAGGGAAATATTGTAACATTACTTTACATTTTAACCAATCACAACTATAACTGGAGCAAGTTCTTTTGTCTGTTGGCACTGCAATGCAAAAATATGTCTGTAGCTATCTACAGAGTGATAAGACTGTGTTCTCCACCATTTTTTCATGGGAGGTTTAAGTGTATCCCTGTAAAAAATTACAACTCCCTGTTCTCAGTAAGCAATCTGCAGCCATATATCCCGGAAACACGGCTGAGTAAAATCTCATGAGTGAGCTAGTCTCAGTGCAAACTGAAACTAGCTTAGCATCTTAGTAAAGTCATTTCATTCTTCAGCATTCTCAAGGAAGCTCTTCAGTCTATCACTTTCTTTCCAACTTTAGACCTCTAATCCGTTAGGTCTGGTAAACTGTGAGTTCTGAATGTGGAGGCTGACGTGCATCACTTGAAGAAATCCTTCTTCTCAAATGATTGAAAACACCAATTTCCATTCTGTGATCTGTCAAGTGTGTCAGCAGGAGTCTGTGCTCCCTGATCTGACTATATCCTGAAATGATAAAGGCAAAAATAGCTAGTTTTCCATCAAAACTTCTCAACTAAAGCTCATTTTTCTGTAGACTGCAAAGCATCCTACTGTGTCCTCCAAGATTTCACAGCTTTTGGTCATAGTCAAATTCAACCTGAGCAGTTATGCAAATGCACCCTGAAAAATTTTCTTAGCATAGGGGGGTCGGGTATTTGAAATTATCTGAATTCCTTAACAGATTTAGGGTGTAAGTACAAAGGGCAAATTTGTTGGCAACTATCATGATAAACAAAAATACTTCTCTGAAGAGGAGAGAGAAGTGTTGAAGTGTTTTTCGATTTTTGTCTACTTTTCAGCGTGAATCTTTGCTGGTGATCAGAAAATGATCACTCACATCTTGAACTGAGATGGATGGAAGCTATGGTATTGCAAGGTGATATCTGGAAAACAGACATTAAAAACTACTGGGAAAGAGAAGCATGGTATAATGAACTCTATAATACAAACTAGATTCAAGACAGCTAGAGACAGCTTCTTGGAAATTATCTGAAGTTGCTAGTCCTTGCTAATCATGTGATACTTTTAATTTATTCATTAAGAACCTGCCTTTCATTTGCATTTTAAACAAACATGAAGTTGGCAATGTGCTCCAAATTTACTTTTGTTTTGTGTGGCTTTTCATGCCAGGAATACAAGGTGTTGTGGAGGCTTATCAGAGCTGCCTTCCCAAGCTGCAGCTGTATGGGCCAACAAACATTGCTCCCATCATCCAGAAAGTGGCAAAATCAGCATCAGAGGAGACCAACACCAAGGAGGCCTCGGTAAGGAAAGAATGCTGTGTTTGCCTTTTTTCTTGTCTTATGACAGATCTCTTATAGGCCATCAAAACAAGGCCTTTTCACGTATGCAGATCATACCTTCACAGTTTTTACTAACTGTTTTCATAGAAGGCAGCTTGTCCCTGTAGCTGGAGCCTTTATAGCTTCAATAGTCACAACTTCCCCCACAGTTCTATTTCCTGCTTTTAGAGCTGTTTTACTGTAACACACCCAGTTCTTCACTATGGAAATGTAAATGGCACCACTAAGGTTACAAAAATTTAGGGGCTAGAAGCCCTAGAAGTCTTGATCATACAAAGAGATGAGTTCAAATGATTCACTACACAAACTACCATAAAGGATCCAAATAATAGTCACTCTTCCCCATTACCAAGTGAAGATATGTCACAGCCCATGATCCCAGTTCAGTGGGCTTTGGAGCTTAGGAAAAGAAATTACAAGCTCACAAAATTGCTTGCTCTCCTTTAGAGAATGAGAACACCTCTCCTCGGGGCTCTATATGAAGTGGTTGAAAATGGATATATTCCCACTCTGCTCTCCTCAGGGACCCCATTACTCTGCAGTATGCAGCAGACCTGCCACGGCGTAGTGCTTCTCCCACAGGCAGCAGTGGGTCAGCTAGATGGCTGCACCCATCCCTCTTGCCTGTTAGCAAAGCTCCTCTGCAAAGTGCTGTCATAACCTTCCTGACAGCTCTGCTACAGGCCTGTAACGCTTCAATACCCCATTCTTCCCTGCCTCCCACCAGTTCCCAAAGGAAAAAAAAATGTAATCGGAAACTGTCAGCAGAAGTGACTGTGCAGCAGATGGAAAACAGGGCTAGTGAAGATGTCAGGACTATTCCAGATTTCCCAGCCAAAGATCTGACTCTCCCAGCCCTAGCAGCTATAAACTACCTTTTCTACACTGAGCATCCTCTGGTTGCCTCCAGCTTCTGGAAGTTACATGCACCAGAGCTAAACTCCAGAAGAGAAGAAATTAGCAGCTGAAGAGGCTGGGGTAGGAAGAGCTATATAGTCACTATAAAGGCTCTTTTCTATTCACAAAGGTACATGAGTGAGTTAACATAAACATTTTTATACTGCACAAGGTTAAGCAGCTTTGGGACAGTAACTAATGATAAAATTTTTCTCTCCTTGTCCAACAACTTTAGCAATACTTCATCTTGCTGATTCTGACGGATGGCGTCATCACAGACATGGCCGACACCAGAGAGGCCATTGTCCATGCCTCCCACCTTCCCATGTCAGTCATCATTGTCGGGGTGGGGAACGCTGATTTTAGTGACATGCAGATGCTGGATGGTGATGATGGGATCTTGAGGTCTCCCAAGGGCGAGCCTGTGCTTCGAGACATTGTCCAGTTTGTGCCATTTAGGAACTTCAAACACGTAAGCTGATTTTTCCATCCATCCCACAGAAGGGTGAATGTATATAACACATAGTGCATGTTCCCTGGGGCTGGGCTTAACTTTGCATGTGCATGCAATGTTCAGTAAGTCTGTGGTATTATTGTATTAGAAATAGAGAAAAAGGAAGGAATCAGAATGAAATGTGCCCTGTTAGTTAGTTGGTGAGGGTGGGGAAGGAAGACATGAGGCAGAATCCATGTGCTTTTTGTGGTGCCAATCCTTGCTTCCACTTTCTCCCAGGTTTTAGTTTGGTTATCCTTCTGGTGTCTCTTTTCCATTCTCTTGGCACCTGTTCTGTTAGGACTACTGTGTTCTGCTTTCCATCTCCCTTCATTTCCATAGGCAGATGAAATGGCTGTGAATTTGTTCTCACAGTGTTCCCCAAGAGGCTGTTGCCTTATTAAAATTTAGTTCCCTAAGTTCTCAAATGCAGGACTATCCACCCACAGCATCCTGGTTGCCTCCAAACCCTTTCCCACATTCTGTACAAGAACACAACCAAGAAAGTGGCATTACTAGGAACTTTCCTGTACCCTCAGCCAGCTGTTCCTGACTGAGCCCAGTGTGGTGCAAAAGACACTCTTTAGGAAAGAAAGGAACAGGACCAGCATTAAATTGCCAAATCTAAAATAATGCATTGGTCATGTACTTTTCTTCTCAGTCAGCTACCCTACATTGCAGCATCTGCCCCAGGGACTTTTCAGCAACAGGGTAGAGATAGTGTTCACCCACAGAAGGGGCTTTCCCACACACAGATGGGTTTTTCAGAGCCCTTTTCCTCCATATGGAGGCATGCATTATGTTCCTCTGCAACGCTGATCACATCTCTTTCCCTTCATTTTTCTGTTTTTCTCTCCCTTCCTTCCCCTCACTTCTTCTATTACATTTATGTGGTTCTCCAGACTGTTTTTTCTTGTTCACCTTTGTCTAGGAAGGATATCCTTAGTATTTGACTTGAGAATTTCTTTTCTCACAGTGTAACTGACTCATGCTGTTCATGAGATTTATTCTTCCAATCTGCTCCCATACACTAGTGATCCTTAGATCTGGATATGTCAATCAGAAGTTCTCAACTCTGGGCTGGTTTTGCTCTGCATATGGCTTTACACTTCTTACATTTCTTTAGGTTTTCTAGGCTTTTTGTTGCCATTGGAGATTTTTTTTCTCTTTGCTATTTCCAAAATACCTTCATTTTATTTTTCTCTTCTGAAGAGTCGTTCTTTTTTCTCACTTCAAAATACAATTTTGCTGTATTTGTCTTAGATGTAGATGCACTTCTTACTTTCATAAACTCTAGTAAGGAGTCAGAGAAACAAACTTGTTCCTCTTTTCCTTCTACCTTTATGTAAACAATGGATCCCCACAGGAGGCAAAACTCACGGTGTGCTATTAGTTTGATGACACCATGCCAAATAACTGCAGACTGGCTACTGAATCATAGATACACATATTTCTATGCTGCCAGTGGCACACAGTCACCTATGTGCTGAAATAAGTATGAGCACGAGTTCACAGCTTGTGATTCCTTCAGTAGATAATCACAAGTGCATAGTGCTGCACTGTAGTCTACTGTAGAAGTGTCCACAGTAGAGTTATTTATGGGCTAGTAGGTAGACCTACTTTTAATTAGTTGAAAACATGTTTCTGCAAGGAACTGGCAAAGCCAGCTGCATTTTTAACTTTTAGTTTCGCTTTGTATTTTATATTAAAGCTCAAATCATCTCTGATTGAATAGATTCATGCTGACGGCTGCAGTTCTGGGTTCTGAATATATTGTGCCCCTGGTGTTAACTTTTGAGTGAATCTATGTGATTTTTTTTTATTGCTAGAATTGATCAAACAACAATCTAAATCATCTAAAAAGAATATATGCTTAACTTCCTCAGTACTGAGAGAGTATAGCAATCTTAATGTATTTTTCTTGTTAAATAGTGATATTTTTCTCCCTCTTTCTTTCAGTAGCAAAGATAATATACAGAGAGAGATAGATTTGTATTTGCCCTATCAGAAAAGTCAATATATCTTATGCAACCTGATATTAGTCTGCTTATTGTGATCTTTCAGCTTTTCGATAAATGTCAGTGTAATGAATGAGTGCCTGTAAGAATAGCCACTTCTTGCTGAATTTCTTTATTATCACAGCCCGAATAATATCTCCCTCTGAACAAAGTGACATTCACAGATATCTTGCTTACTTAGCACAAACAAAAGGCCATGTATCTTGGATCAACTAGTGAAATAATTTGTCATGGGAGAAATGAGCATGATATTTTGATTCAGACTTATTTTCCCCCACAGAAAAATGCAGATTTAACACATTTTGGAGATCCATTCTGATCAAACACAAGAATTAACCTACATCAGCATATTATATTTGACAGCTTTAAGCAAAATATGTATTTAGTTAAAAATCACATCCCTTTTGTCAATGTACCTTGTGTTTAGTTTATTAAATAGAAAAAAATGTTGCAGGGTCTTTTTAGAAAGATTACAAATCAAGTTTTGTAAGGTTTATAGGTTTTTCTGCTAAATCAAGTATTTATTTATGCCTAAATCCATATTATTTCTATTACTGACAGAAGGAGAGAAGAAAATGTTATGTGTGAACATTTATTTTTTGTTTTGCTGCAAGAGTAAACCAAAATTCATTTGGAGTCAATCCAAACAATATTTTTTTTCATTACTTCAATTCTCATGTCAGCTTGGAACTCAAAATCTCATATCTATCCAAAGGGATCAAAAATAATCTATGCAAAAGCTGCCCCTGTGAGAAAATGGAAAGGGGCAAGAAGGAAGTCGTAAAAATAACCTGTAGGGTGAATTCCTTTTATTTTATAAAAATAAACGTTACCTTCAGAGAATGTTCTTATCCTGCACAGCACTCATACAGGCATTTAACACATTTCAATTAGTTAGGGTTATTTACATACCTAAAACCTCATACTCACTTCAATGTTTTACTGGCTTAAGACTCAGTGTAGACAGAAGGTTTTATTATAGGGGTTTAATGCCCTATGTGATGTAGTGTATCAGAAGTACTTTAGTAAAGTATCTAGTCTTTTTTCTCCCTCTTTAAGGAATATCTCTAAAGCCATCAAAATAATAATAACAATTGTAGTGACTCTTGGCAAATCCTGTAGTTGTAAAGGCTTGATAAAAATCAAGGTAACCATTAACACTTAAATATATGTCCTATTGTATAGTGGGTAACATGCAATTTGCTAAAGGGGAACATAACAAACAAAGGGAACATATTTTCCCTTAACCTAAGTGATACTTTTGTCTCTATAATCATCACCATCCCAGTAATGTGAGTGTCCTTCACCTGAAACTGTAGAACATTGATGCTCACAGTCACTGAAAGGTAGTTGAAGAAAATCACCTATCTCAATCCACTCACAGTCATATTTTAAGAGCTGAACTTCTCTGCCTTTGGGACGCATGATAGATTGACTGTGCACAAATCTGATGCCACAGATAGATTGTATTCCATTCTGCATTGTATTTAATCATAAAGGCTAACAATTGTGACTTCATAACACCTCTATCACAGAGGCATGTGGACAGCCCAGCTCTCAGCCACTGCAAGGAACAATGTTTTGCACTATGCATTGTAATTAAAGATTAAGCATAGCGAAGCTACAGAAATGAACCAACAGTCAGCTCTGTTTGTAATACACACCAATAATAGACTCATAGGGATTATTTTCTTGCTGCTGACTGATCTGATTGTTGTGTATTAGCTATCAGTTGAGAACTGTTCACCTTGAGGTGCTTATTGCTAGGATGCTCTTCCAGCAGTTTAATAGTGGACAAAATGTTGCAGTAAAACATTTATGCTCCATCTGTATTAAAAAGCCAGCAAAGGTAATCCTTACACAGCACAGATGAACTGGGTCTAGGTTTTAGCTCAGAAATTACTGAGTCTGCTTACTTATACAAATCTTGTTTTTCACCATCTGGTCTAGAAAGGAGAGTGCTTTACCACCACAAAAGTATGTAAAGTACAAATGGTCCAAATTGTCAGACAGGAAATCACCCCTAACCCTGGTTTTGGGATGCTCCCTGATAAAAAGAGCTCCAGGACCAACAGACATCACTGGCACAAGGAAATTCAGTAAAGCAACACTTGTCCATATTCAGACTGAAGCAGGGAGACAAGCCAGCTACCACGGGGAAACTCTGCGTGGGGCCACACATTGCCTGTAAGCCAGTGAGCACAGTAAATGTTTTGGCTTAAACCTCAGCGAAAGGCTTTTTAGTTGAGGACTCCTCAAGTGGCAGTGATTCAGCTGTGCATCTGAGCCTTGACAGAGCCTGTTCTGAAGGGCTGACCCTTTGTTCAGGAAGAATGGATGTGGCGTCAGAAGAGAGAAGTGGTGAAGGGGGGAGAATGCAAAGAGGGGAGTGCCCATAACAATAGCCACTTCTGGCCCAATGTTCAGGCCTGTGAGCTACATATGAACTAGAGAAGCTGATGGCAGGCAAGTGCTCCTTCCAAGCATTTTTAAAGACAGAGCAGAGTGAAGTTTCCTGATTGCTACAGCCTATGTGTGCAGGGATAGTCCTGGGCTCTTCCCTCACTCCCTGTTTCTACTCTTTATGTATTGTTGTATCTTTGGTAAAATAGCACAGATGCAGGCTAAGGTATGACATACCAGGAAGGAGATTTAAAACCCAGTCATTTTCAATAGCAATGTAGAAATAAGCCATTTGCCTGATTACAAAGGGTATTTTCTGATTATTTTAGTTGGAATTAGAGGACCTTTAAGGTCCGTTCCAACCCAAACCATTCTATGATTCTGTAAAGCAGGTTTAGGCAAGAATAGGGCAACTCTGGAAAAACGTGTATTTCACTTTCCAGGATTAACACAAATGGGTTCTGTTACTGTGTTACACCTGAGAGCAGCAGCTGCACTGTCACACAAAGTATGCTCTATGCTTTGCCAGTTTGTTCATGCAGAAATGTTCCAGGCTGTTTTGCCTGCACAAATATTTTGGTATCAATGTCACAGTAGGGAAATAGCAGTTCATTTCATTTGTTACTAATACCATACATGAGTCAAATTACAAAAAAAAAAAAAAAAACAAACCACCAAAACAAAACAAAAAAACCAACCAACCAACCAAACAAAAAAACCAAAACAAACCGACAAACTTCTGTTTCTGATTTTGCTAGCAGTATCTTTGATTTGTAGTATTGTAACATTTGATACTGGAATTTCTAATAGCCCTGGGGCTTTCTGCACCCCTGCATTAGTGTGTCTATGAATAGTTTAGATTCAATTTAAGACTCTGGAAGGATAAGAATCCCACCCCAGCAAACAAAATAGGTCAATAAACAGTCAATACAACTGCTTTGTGACAGGGTAGTTTTGAAACTTGGCTGGCAGTATAACAAACAGTGAGGAGGAAAGTGTACATTAATTTGGAAAAAAGTACTTGGTGTGCAGAAGAAATGTCATCCGGCCACCAGCTGAGTTCCCATACATCCTCTGAGCTGCAGTCTGTGCTCTGTCTGGAGATACATGTCAGTTTGAGAGGTTTAAATTAATGTGTTTAAGTATTTGCATTTTTACTGCATTTTTGTGGTGGGCTCAGAGGGGACATGGCTGAGCAGGCTGGCTCCAGAGGACTTGGAACCAGCTCAACCCAAACACTTGGAAACAAGCAAATCCAAAATCTGGGGCAAGTGGATGCATGGGAGAACAGGAGTCCAGTTTTGTCACTGCTGAATTCAGGGGCTGAGGAAAATCCCTGCATCACATGCAGGTAATGGTTGCCCACAAAACATCCACAGACCTCTCTGCTTAAAATGAAGCCTTGTTGGGGTGTGAGGCAGCAAGTCTGTGTTGTCAATGGAGGGCACGGTTTCTCACTGCACTGAGGGGGAACCCTCCTCCCTGCCTGGAGTGAAAGTCAGTGGTCATCTCTGTATCCATCTCTACATTTTCAGGGTTATCAGTTCTTAAATTCTGGTTGTCACTCACCATTTATATGTTGCAGTAAGAGCTTTAAAGCCTCCACAAAGCCTAAAATTGAAGCTTTCTTGTAACCACGGTTTAATTCTAATAAAGACAAAGTATTTTCATTGAATTAAAAAATTTACCCAGCCATTAAAACACCATGCCAGACTCTGAAGAGCAGAATGGTGATGAAGGCCTCCCTTTCACTGTGATGTCCATTCATGTTCAGCTTGAAGCTCATTGAACACTGATGAAGTCTTTGCAGCCCTTTTTGTTGCGAATGGTGCTCTCTCAGAGTGCAGGGAAGTTCTGTTACACTGAACTTAAAATAGTCCAAACAGACTTGGAAAACATGCAGAGAACTTTTAGCTGTAGTGCACTTTCAGGCAGCTAAAGCTGCATACCTAAATTGACCCATAAAATGAGTTTCAAGCAATAGCGCCTTTCACTTTGAGTCTTTTTGGCCTTCCATTTCTGTACCATAATCCTTGACCTCATGGCACCCATGCCTCTAAAAGCCATGGCACTTCTAGCAGAGAGCCACGTTAATGTTTGTGTTTTCTACCATTTCCTGCAGGCATCCCCAGCTGCTCTAGCAAAAAGCGTTTTGGCTGAAGTTCCAAACCAAGTCGTGGATTATTACAATGGCAAAGGGATAAAACCAAAATGTATGTCAGAGTACGAGTCTTCCAGGACACTAGCTCCATGAACCTGCCTGCACTCTTTTACAAAATTAAAAAAGAAAAACGCTACTGTCTACAACTCCTGTACTTAAAAATGAAACAAAACAAAAAAATAGCACGTTTTGGTGATTTTTAACTAAAATAACCTTTTTCTTTTTTTTTTTGCATGTGTAGCCTAAAGGCTTAAATCTGTTAAGCGGTTGTATTGTTGAAAACTTTTTATGAGAAAAAAATCCCGAAAAAAAAAGTGAACTCTTTACATTACAGCATGTCGCCTTGAAATAAAAAGTTATCTGTATCTGGTTTTTATACAGGTTTGTTGAAATTTTGCTATATTTCTTATCTTTACACTGTAAAGCATTTTGAAATATTTATTGAGAGTCATAGACAAAATGTCTTTGGTTTAATCTGCTAAGAACTGAGAGATTTTTCAAAATGGCAGATGCATGAACTGTATTTTGCATGTTTAAAATAAAAACAACACAGTTTTGCAGTTGTCTTTATTTCTCTCTCTGACACAAGGCTGCCTGCTTTCAACTTCCATATTCCAAAGACAGGGTAATAAAGTGTTTCAAGAGATACCTGACCTGAAGCATGGGCATTTCTGATGTTAGCAGCTTATACTATGGACACCAAACATGCCCGCTCAGTCTGGAGCCTGAGTAGTAATTTTTCAAAAGTGTGACACATCCAGCACTTATGGAGGGTTTGGACCACAGCAGTAAACAGGCTTGGAGGGCATGATCCATCAGCATTGCATGTCTTAGAATATGCCTACTTAATCCAAACTATGTGGCTGGCTTTCAAATGGGTTGTATTTTGGCTACTTTATAATGTCTTATGTTTGAGAATTCTTATTTTGTTTCATTTGTATTTTTTAATCTCACACCCAGTATACAACTTTGTGTGACATGTTTTCCAAAAGAAATTTTGCACAGCCTGATTTTGTGACAACTGGTGATTTGTAACTTCATCCTCACAGAGATCACTTGTGTTTGAGAGAAAAACTGGTTTTGTACCAAAAGAATATTTAAGCCACCTTTTTTTTTTTTAAAGAAAGAGGACATAAAAGAACAAATTGGCAGTGGATTGATCTTTTCATTGAAATATTTCTGTATATAAATGAAGAAATTACATAAGTGTTATTTTTAGTGTTTGAATTTTGGCTTCTTTTGCTGAAAAACAGTAGTGAAGAATGTGACTTGTTAAAAGCTAAGGATAAAATTTGACAAAAAATAATTTGTGTGGGTCTGTCCAAAGGGCATGGCTTTGGACAAGTTATGCTCCTACCAAACTGAAAACATTCTGTTGCTAGTCCCAGAAGAAGCTGTTTTGGGCCAGTGCTGAATATTTTGGAAAACCTCCCCTGTGAGCAAGGGATTTTGTTTTAGAAATACATATTTTTAAATGAGTTTGCTGGTAACGTAGAACTCTAGCTCCCTGATTCTCCTTTAGAAGTAACTTCCACGGGATCAGCTTTGATTGAAGATTTTGTACTATGAAATGAAGGCAGTGGGATAGCCAAGATACATGGGGCTGTCTCCCCAGCACATTCCGTTCTGCTCCAGCTATATCCTGCAGTGTAATCACTCATGCTTGCTAGTAAAGATTCCTTCATCTGACCAGATATTGAACAGCAGCCAGTATTTCTTAGTCATGGGTATAAGTTGTTTGGAGATGTCCCGACTGATAGATCTCAAACCCACACTTCCATGTAATGGCTGGCACTTCATTTGAGAGCTTACCCTCCCTCTGTGGATGTATTTCATCTGGAAGCTACTGCGATCTTCTTTATATCTCGTATACCACTCTGTCAACAAATTTTAGTTCTAGTCTACCACATCTCGAGTTTCTTACTCCCATTTCCCCCTTTCTTTTCTTTCCTTCCCTATTCTCAGAAGGACCATTTTTGAGCCGTTAAAGCACATGACTGACAAATCAATGACTCCATGTTCTTTGCTCCTCAAATATATTACTTTGTAATCTTGGCCAAGTTGTTTAACTATTCTGCACCTCAGATTCCTCATCTGTAAAATGAAGGTCACTGCCATGTATTCATAAATATCTCATAATAATACTGGGGGACTTCAATATTTGAAAAGTGATTTGAGATCCTCAGAGGCATGATGGTGCTCTCACCATGTAAAGAGTATTACTTTACCCTGGGATGTGCATTTAGGGATGTAATGTATAGCCACAGAAGGGTTAAGCCTCTTTTTTATTATTTGCCAGACTGTGAAAGTAAATGAAAGCTTTCAGCAAGGAAAAATTAGGGATCAGATAAATTGTTCTTCTGGTACATATGATCTTTGACTAAACTGATTTTTGAAGTGTTTATGGTTACACAGAATTGGGCAGTTACAGCTCTTCATTAGCAGAGGCGTTACAAGGTGCTTCTATAATGTAGCATCACATAAAACACAGAGATCAACAGGTTACTGTATGCTGAGCTGTATAAACCATCAGTCATTTTCATTTGTGTAGTTGGTCTCTATAAGTGCCTCAAGAGAATCCCAGCTGCTGCAGATCTTTCTGTTTACTTCACACAATCCTGATTATAAATGTTGTCTACTTAAAAACAAATCATTATCAGTGGTTAACATAAGTCAGCAATTCCATAGCAGCCCTCCAGGTATTTGGAGAGACACCTCCACAATATTGAAAAATCAATTGGAAATCTCCTTCAATCTTTACAGATCTCAGCATGCCAAACAATCACGTAATAGCGTGGTGAGTTGGTGTAGGATGCACAGAAGACAAAACTAGCCATATGGTAAAAGCTTTCTAATGAGGCTTTGAATGTTATTTTCATTGCTCCAAGCTACTCTGTGCAATAAAATAGTATGGACTTTTTGCAGGGTAATATCATTAAGTATATGAATATTTCTCTGAAACAGCATATTTTTCTCCTGTTTTATCTACTTAGGGTTTTGGCAAGGCAATTCTGCCTTTAGGCTGAACTGCCATCAGTTTCTCCTGCAGATTTTTTAGTGCAAACTTAAACTTCTACTGCCTTTTGATGGATTGTTTTAAATTCTGAAAACTCCTTTAAAATAAATTATATCTTGTCCTTTTTCAGATAATTCATGATCTAAAATATCTTCTCTGACAACTGTAATCCTGCCTTCCTTTTTACTGTCTCTCAAACCCAATTCAAAATCCAGAAGTCCCAGAAAACCCAAAGATATTCATAAACCCTATTATCCCAAAATACATTAACATCTATTATTCTTGAGCCAGATACTGAACTGAGTTGTATCTTTGGTTTTTTAGGGGAAACTAAGTCTACAACAATTTTTAAAAAGCAGTTATACACTTCCAAGCGCTTATTACCCTAAGGAAAAATCTATCCATGTGAAGTTCTTACCATGATAAGCAATACAGTGTTCTACAGAATTTGATGAAAGAGTCTACAAGTATGAAAGAAAAACAAAATTATAATAATAGTATTGTTTTAAAACATCTTTTAAAGAGTCTCCGAATATCAAAAGTACATAAGTGATGACAGCTAAAAGGTTTAAAGTTTGATCTGTTAGAGACCTGCAGCAGGCAATGGAGAACAGTGGTCTAAGCCAAGTCTTGCTGCAGGTTGCAGAGGTGATATTCCAACAAATACACAGGTGAAAGGTTCCAGTTCTGTGCAGATTTGTATGACAAAAGCCCTGCAGCTCTGCAATACTCAACTGCATCCCTCAGGTTTACCCAGACACCAAATATTGTGATAGAACAGCGTGTGGTTTAAGTGAGCTTCATTATTGTATTGCACTAAGTTCTTTGATGGTGAGTTAAACAGAGCTCCCTCCTTCAGACTGGCTCTCTGGCTACTCAAACAAGTCATGGCTAACTCCCAGAAAGAACTCACCTTGTTATTCAGATTGATATTCCTCACCTGGGATTATGGGTCTTTCGTCATAACTCCTACGTAAATCTAAACATATGTCCAGTCTTTCCAGCATGGAGGAGGTACTAGACAAACTCCCTTTACTCCTAAAGTAGCATGGACATTTCAGTCACAAAGCATTGGTACATTTACATTCACTTTTTTTTTTAATAGGAAGGATAAGCTGGAGGATTCCTAGCATAGGTTTACACTTCTCAGGTTGGTTTTTTTCCTTTATTTATGGGAAGTGCCATTTTGCCCCAAGGAATATAGAGTTTATATCACCATTCATCCTTCGCTCATAGGTCTTACTTGTATGTGCAGTCCTGGGCTGAAGAACTGAACTATACCAGAGGCAATTTCAGCAATTAGAGCTATATAAGTGATAACAATCAGGCCAGCTGCACGTTTTCTTGCAGCATTCACTGCAAACCATCAATGGGCTAAATGCCCACCCCCTCTTTTCTCTTTTTTCCAATTTCCTTGCAGAGCTGGGGAGATCCTCCAAACTGATCAGGTGAAACCTAGGTGACTCTCTCCTGGGAAGGCTGCCAGTCCAAAAGTGTTTCCATTTCCTCATTCCTGCCATTATGAGGACTACCCAAGGCAGCAGACTGGGGGGAAGGTTATTTTGTAATGTTTCATTCTCTTCTTTCCTTCCAAAAACGTGCTAGTCATTTCAACTGCTTTGCAGAAGGTCTTTTACTGTTGTGTTCAGGAGACACTTAAATTCTTGTCCCACTGATTAGAGCAAGCAGTTTGCCATCTGATTGCATTATTGCATTCAGAGTTGCAGTCATCTTGCTACACCCACTCCCCCCTACACCCACAAAGTTCATGCCTCTTTAACACCATGAAAAGCTGCATGCACCAAAAAAAAAAAAAGAAAAAAAATTGATTTTACATAATATTATGTAAAAGGAGAAAAGTACAGCACTAAAACTTATTTCTCCAAAATGTATGTTTGCCCATGTATTGCTTTCCAGCTTACTGGTGCATGAAATTCTGTGTCACCTCAGCTGTGCAGCACGCTACACGAGAAAAGCATTATACTGTGGCAACAAGGCTAGCTTCAGGTGAGGGCATCAAGGGAGCCCTCTTCGCTGGCTGGGAACATCTATCATGGCTTAGCAAATCACTTAATCTTGCTGTGTGCCTTGGTTCCACATCTTTAAAATGGAAGCAAATAGCATTTTGCTACTTCCTGGGGACTTTGGTAGGGTAAGGACTATTGTAGATTGTCACAGTACTTATAAATTGGGAGTTAACACCTTCATTTTTAGGTTCATTCTTCCCCCTGATACAGAGCAGCAGCATAAGCTACTGATGGACCCCATTAGAAAACACATCTGCATTAAATTTAGCAACATGCCTGTTGATGTTCTTAATGCCAGGGAGAGAGTGAAAAGATGCAGTGATCACTGTGATAGTGGAGATGACAACCTCAGAGAGGAAATATCCATTGAACTGTGAACTTGGGAGATGCATTTTTGAACACACTATGTGTTTATGTCTTAAAAGGACAAGAAGTAAACATGGGACAAGGGATGTTTATGTAGGCTGCTGGTAGTTTTCTGGATCACATTTTTGGGTGTGAACTGCAAAATTCTGCTCAGTTAACCA